AGTATCAGACAGTACTACAAAGAAAACAAAATGATACTATAGAGTGGATACTGCCATTTACAGTTCTTTTGAGAAATACAGTGTTGCCTTACGTATTGCAGAAATTCTGCATTAAACGTACAATAACATAACAATGACAAAAGATTACGTCTGGAGACACTGTGAAGTAGCGGGATCATGGGAGTTGTTGTCTTTAATCAGGAGGGTTTTACCAGGAGCCGAATCATCCGCAGAGGTCTCCTCCTCTCCAAAACAAACAGACCCGGTAATTAAAAATGGTAAAACACTGAATAAAGCAGTTCCACCTTAAAAATCACTGCTTCTCCCACGCTGTTGGACAGACAAAGGACGTCCCGGAGGGGCTGCGAGCCGAGCTGCTGCTAACGTTAGCTCAGCTTGTTTCTCTGATAACTTAAGATCCAGACGTCTGATGACTAAAATCCTTCATCCGGTTCAAATCTAGAGTTAAAAAGCACCAAGATCTAAACAGTGGATGGTAACAATGTGGCTTCAGACTGGATCAACAGTCTTTGCATTCGCAAAGAAGATATTGACAGTCGACCAGTGAAACGCGGCGTTGCCTACATTTGGGATAATGTAAGAACACAACTCAACTACATATAGAACAGCTCTAGTGTATTTTAATGCAGAAATGTTACATATTATAGCTTTAAGGCATTGTATCATGCCATAAGCATTATTATTGATACCAAAAGTATCATTTGTGTGCTAGTTACTTAACTACATACATAGGGAGGAGCAACTGTGCCAGTTGAATCAGTTTACACACACAGATACTGAGTATCTTATCCACAATTTAAAAGCAGAGCTGTCACACCGGCTTAAAGCTGCAGCACAATGGAATAACAATGGTATTGTAATAGAGGCTCACAATCTCTATCTCACACACACACACACACACACACACAGACACACACAGACACACACAACCAGCTGAGCAGTCAGGCTCATGCACATTAATGTGGCATTACATTAACCAGATGTGTGGGGTCTGTGGGTATGTGCGTGTTTGAGTGGGTGTACACACATTTATGTGTCATTGATCTGTGCCACTGTGTGTGTGTGAGTGTGTGTTTGTCCAATTTCCACTCAAATTAATGGTGCCTCTTTATAGGCCTTCTGCTAGAGTGGCACTGAATTACTTGGTGCTTCACTCTCGCACCTGGGACCCATTCGATGTTATAGCCGCAGCTAGCTGCTAACCTGGGACCCATTTGCTACAACAGTATAGTTAGCATTACAGATACCAGCGCTTTTTCTGCAGAGAATTCAGTGCTAACTAACACAGTTCTCAAGTCCACACCTGGGACCCACAGATTTACATCAGATATTGCTCAGTAACTGATCGCTGACAGTGGACGTGTCTACAGGAAACTTTAAGAGATTGGCACCAAAGACTGAAATGTTAAATTTCATGTTTGGGCGATTGAGTATAACAGCAACAGGCTGCGTTGAATGGACACTTCTTTGTATCACATAGGAGGACTTTGGTCACATACAACACATTTTATTTCATTTCTTGCAACAAATGAACACTGTGTTTGGTCTGTTGGGAGTTACTACTGGAAACACTGTGAAGGAACTTTATGTTAGACGAATGATATAGTGCTCCCCATGCCATCTACAAACTAAAGGAGGTCACAGGTCACACACATTGAGCTGTGTAAGTTATGACCATATTTGGGACTAGGTTTGTGTTCCTCCAGAATTGGGTTGGCATCTACAGTGACTCCACTTGTGCTGCTGATCTCTATTCTCCTAAATCAAGCTTCAAACTTCTTCAATTATGAGTCAAACATCTATTGGGCTTGGGCAATATGTTAGAAATATTCCAACAAAAATCGCCCGATATCTTTGTCCAGTCGCCCAACATCCTATCATCTATCACAAGAATTCCTTCTCAAACACATTTATAAAAGTAAATTAAAATCCTTTTCACACTGCATACTTACTCTCTGTTGCAAACTTCGTGTAAATTGTCTGACAAATCAGAAGGATTTTAAAAGGACTATAGCCGACTGATGTATTCAACGTATGTCCCTTTTGTCTTCCTCACATTAAAAGTTGCATCGAACACAATCCAGAGTAATACGCAACAACTGTTTTTCTAATTATGAAGAAGAAAAGCTACAGTCTCTTTTACTGGTTAGTTTCTGCATGTGACTGCCAGCTAAGTTGCTCACTTCTCCTGGCCTCAGTGAACTCTGCTGCCATGAATCTGAGCTCAGATTAGTGCTGGCACAGCGGTGATTTTGTGGTGATGACAGATTATCTTGTTTTTGTTTCAACTTCTACAAGTATTTTGATCATCATACATCATAGCTAGCTACTTCTGGCAAGATGGCCCCCGTCTGTCACCCCCAACCAAGATGGCTGATGTCTTGAGTTGTTTGGTTTCTGCTCAGGGACAAACACACACACACACACACACACACACACACACACACACACACACACACACACACACACACCATCAAACTACAAAATGCATGAACACATTAACTCTCTCATGCAGATCCAGAGTGGCGTGTGTTTATCCCCAGTAGGCTGTGTGTTTTTTTTGTGTTTGTGTGCGTGCGTGCGTGCGTCCCATGTCCTCCTACTACATCCCAGGGGGTCTCTAACAGAGAACTTAAAAGGATTCTTTAGTCCATGTGTTTTAATTTAGCCCTCTCTTCAATAATAACCAGAAAGCTGTGGTCCCACCACTAACTTCATACACAAGCACACACACAATAACACACACCAACACACAGATGAACGTACACAGACCCCTGCATGCAAGTGCACACACATCCCGCTGAGCTGGGGGATTACTCTGCAATCTCAACCACTCTTCCTCCTGGGAAAAACATGTTTTATCATTTCATTTCATTTCTTTCTTCTGTGCTCCCTCCCTCCCCCCCCCCCTCCCTCTGCTTTCTCACTCAGCAACATGTAACCCTCCCCAGACTCCTGTGCTGAAATCACAGGCCACATCCAGAGCTCTGACAGGAGCCCTGCGCTTTTGGCGGTGTGACTCAGTGTGTGTGTGTGTGTGTGTGTGTGTGTGTTCATGTGATGTGTGTGTGTTTACGTGTCGGTCAGGGAGAGAGGCAAGAAAAAATATAAAAGCATAAACGGGTTTCCCCTTTTTGTAAAAGAAAGCAATTACATGTAAGGTAGGTTACATCATGGCTTACTTACTGCGTCTGGGTTGGGTTAAACTGATACGAGGCTAACAAGGCTAACAAGGCTAAAGCTTTACATTTAGCTTTACATGTACAGTTAAACACTCATATTGAGCTCCCTTTGTATTGGTTGCCATTATCTGTGTTTCCAATATCTCCTGTAAATTCCCGTTATACCAGGATCCTCCAATGTTAGTAACATGATTGCACTTTGTGTCGCCTCTCTCTACCACTCTACATATTTTCTATTACTCTTCTGCAGAATATCTAATAAAGGCAAACAAACACCTTGCCTGCATTACTGCATCTGCAAACATTTCTCTGGGAGACCTAAGACCAATGACTCTGGTGGGATTGGATGTCAAGCCTGCGGGTGAATAAGAGGCAGCTGTGGCAGGGGTCTTACCATCTACATTACACAGTCTCTGGAAACACTATCTTCACCAGTTTAAACAAAGCCCTCCCCCTCTCTCCCCATTTCTTCATCCCTCTATCAAAAGTAAACATACACACTCTCACATGCTAACAGGCAGACTGCCTTGCAGTAGCAAGAAAGTGTGTGTGTGTGTGTGTGTGTGTGTGTGTGTGTGTGTGTGTGTGTGTTGGCTTGTAATAAGCGAGCGTTTGGATTAATCTGTAGGAACCAGATGCCCCCGCCGCGTTCCTTTCAGCCCCTCCATTAATTACACCAGTACTAATAACGGCTTTTGTGTGTGTGCGTGTGCGTGCACAAGTCTATCCCTGTGGGACACAACTGAATCCAATAGCTATAGGTATTCAGAAACAGGGGAGGGCCTGAGTCACCCAGGAACCTATAAGACTAGTGATTGTGCGTTATGCAACTAAACTGTTTTATCTGTACCTCAGTCTCAGAGCAGAGCAACCTGCCCACTGAGACACATGCAGCACTTTAGTGGCACATTTTCACTCTTTACCCAAAGAGTTTCAGAAGATTCAATCAGCACAATGAAATATTATATTCATGGGTATGTTTTCATTTGTGTATAATCACCTGAAAATAAAAATTGTTGTGTTTTCGTTACCTTACAATGATACAATGATCAATCCTACAAACTGGACCATCAATGGATGACATTTTATTTAATGAGGGCACTGATCCAGATCTACCTAATTTCTCTCATATATATATATATATATATCTCTAAAATGTAGAAAATAAATCCCTTCAATTGTTTAAAGGACCAGTGTTAAGGATTTAGTGGCATCTAGCGATGTGGTTGCAGATTGCAACTGCCTCACTTCACCCTCTGCTTCTAAGCACAAAAGAGAAACTATGTGAATGGCCCAGCTAGAGCCAGTGTTTGGTTTGTTTATTCTGAGCTACTGTAGAAACATGGCAGTTCTACATGGCGGCCTCCACTGAAGGTGTCCCACTCGTGCTGCAGATAAAAACGGCGCATTCTAGAGTAACAAAAACATAAGAAATCTTATTTTCAGGTGATTATACACTAATGAAAACATACCTATGAATATTATATTCCATTTCTGCCAATTGATCCTCCTAAATATTACACACTAGACCTTTAATGTAGCTGGATGTGAGCATTGCTGATTGAATCTTCTGAAAATCCTTTCATTTGTTTTGGTTTCTTCTCATATTTTCCCTTTCTTTTTACCCACACATAAAGGTATTACGTTGTCTACCACTGACCCCTGACCAAGGCGCTGTTAGCGTGCTGTTGACTGAGGTATACAGGACTCCAAGCACACTTTGTATCTTTGACATGTCATGATTTTGTTAAAAAGCGGAACACAACTACAATCACAGTGCACCTTAAACAATCTTACCTGCTGGGCAGTGGTTGGTTCTGTGTTCAGTGAGCTCAGCCAGACAGTCGAAGTCCTGCTGACAGTTGTCACAGGTGAAGATGGACTCGTCATCTAGATCGTCGTCGTGATCTCGGTCATCGCGGTCATCGTGCTCCTCATGCTCTCCATCCTCAGCACCCGCCCCGTGACCGTCTTTGTGCTCTACCTCTCTGTCAGACGCCGGGACTTCTGAGGAGACACGCAACACACATAACCGTCAGTTTTAAAGCTAATGTACACTTGTTTTTCATTACCAGCTGCAAGTTTTCCAGAAAGCTTTCCACAATGCTTATCGTTACTTTCCACTTTACGGACCGGCTCAGATTCTTTTCAGGGTTATTTTATATGTTAAGTCTACTTCATATTCTCTGAACAATCATTACTGGATGTAGCCTGATAAGACAACATGTCAGTTTGGATTTGGTTTGTTTTTACCTGCACAAATAATATTTATTAACCTCTGTTTTATAAATTATATGTGCAACTTGACTGAGTGTGTGTGAACCGTCACTTCAGCATGTGGCCAAGCCTGTGTGTGTGTGTGTGTGTGTGTGTGTGTGTGTGTGTGTGTGTGTGTGTGTGTGTGTGTGAATGTGTCTGTGTGAATGTGTGTGTCCTGGTAGCAGACAGGCAGAGTGTGAGAGGGGACCAGTGGAAGGCTGTGCCGGCCCAATCCTCACTGCTCCATTGTGTCTCCATTTTCACACCTTATTATCACATTATAAACGCCGAGGATCCAATAGGACTGACACTGAAGACGCCGGCGAGGAGAGGCGAGGAGAGGAGAGGAGAGGAGAGGAGAGGAGAGGAGAGGAGAGGAGAGGAGAGGAGAGTGCTACCAGAAGGAAGAGAAAGATAAAAACAAAAAGTGAGAGGAAAAGATGGTTGGGAGAACGATATGGAGCAGAAACATGAATGAGATGTATTTTTATGGCTACAGATGCAGTGAAGGAAACACATTATTTGCTCTGCATTTTTACAGGGAACAACTGCCGTCTGTCTCAAATCATTTAACCCGGAGAGTAACCCCATATAACACATCCAGCCCAATCTGGTACTGCAACTGTCAAAAAACACCTGAAAAAGGTTTGCAAAGGATTCACTGCAGGGCTATTGCATTTGATTGATTGTACATGCACCTAATAAAGAGGTTACTCAGTAAAGTTAAATCTCTGCTACTGAATTTGAAGTGCTGGCTATTACAGGGAATCAATAACCTCCATTACTTTTAATGAAAAATTGACTTCCTTTAGCGAGTGCAGTGGCGGGTCAAAAAGGATTCATTCAGTTTTGCCCATTAACATCTTCCAACAGCATGTTAAACATGTACGCAGCAGAAAATGTACCCCTCTATTAGGATATTCTTCTCATTAGTGTCACTTTTATTTGCGCCACAGCAGCAGATAGCTGAAACAACTGCTCTTACTCATCAACAGGCCGCCATATTGTTTTTGCTGTGAAGAGGACTACGGTCGGGTAAGTTGGGTCGCGTGTATTGAGAGGGGAGCTTTATTAACTGCGTACCACTCTTAGGAACGGTTATAACGTTATAACACAACAATTAATAACTCACAACTTACTCTAACAGGGCAAAACATGATGGCATGGCTGTTTCTTACTTGATGATTTACTTGACTGTCGATTTTAGAATTGAAACCTTGAATGTAAAAACACCCTTAACCCTCTCCCTTCCTGAACACACCGTTTCATGCTCATCTGTGGGAACGTTTTATGTGTGTGTGTCTCACCTCTGACCTTTTTCTGGACAAACCAGTAGATACAGACATATTCAAATATCCAAACGTCCACATATTCAAACTACCAAGCTTTCAGACAAGTAGGTTTTTTTTTTTTTTTTGGGCGTATAATGCAAAAATACTTACACATGTTAAAGAATATTTAATTTAACTTAAATATTCTTTAATAAAGTTATTTGTTGAAGAAAGCCTTCTGAGAACCTTTGTGAAGTCATATCAGTGTCTATTTTCACTCCAGCTGCCTATATCAGCCGCCCTCTCTAATATCAGTCGGGCTCTAGTTTATACAACTATTTTAAAATGTCTTTTAATTGTTTTGTAAAGGAAGCAATGTTAAAGTTGGCATATGATTTTTATTTTATTTTAGTCCACATAAAAAAGTGATATTCTCTTCTGCATATTTCCATGTTTCCTGTAACAACATGCAGCTATACTGGACCCATCAGCCCACTCTGCTGGGACTGGGACGGCTGAATGCCACGATATTATTGGTTTAAGTAGTTTAAGTCATAGATATATTATATATCTTTATATTATATTATTCATTTTTTGGCATAAATTGTTAAATAGTGGTACAATATGAGTGGGGATGCGATCTTAAAGGGTTAAAACGGCATTTTATCATTTTCATTTCGCAAAACTTTTCTATATTATATATTGTATAATGTTGTGGGGCCAAGAAAAAGCTAAGTAATCAAAGTCTTTAGTATACACATGCTGACATTAAAGTGGTTTTATATTCTATGTAGTCCTGACAGTAGAAAAGCTATATAAAAAGGCCCAGTCATGCAAACAAATACACATAAATAGAAAGTTTTGGTCTTGCCGCCTAGCACAACTCCTCTTCATTTATATAATTTTGTTGTTAGAAAAGTTCCGACTACAATCACAAACCATTCCCCTGATTTTCCACGTGATCGTGTCAGGTCCAGTAAAACAAAAGTCGAGAGAGCAACAACAGCTTTCGAGTTGAAGAGAGAAAGTGCGAGCGAGGTGCACACACCCCGACCCACTCTGATTATTATGGGAGAGGTGTAATGGGAGAGAGGGATGCTGGGAGGCGGGGACAGAGGGATTGAGGTGCTGTGGTGTTTGGGGGGGCTGCAGGAGAGGAAGACAGCGATGGAAGGAGGGATAGATGAAGGGATGGTGAAGAAGAGAGGGAGGGTGCTGGCCATCTGTCCAGTGGTGAGAGCACCGTCTGGCCAGGGAGAGAAAGTGGCCCCCTTTGGCTGACAATGCACACACACTCTCACATACACACACATCGCATGTATGCACACGTATGTGCTGGTTGGTGTGCACACTGACACAAACATATAGGCGCATGTCCAAACACACACAGATGTGCACACAAACACACACATACACACCTGTTTTTATGACAGCGATACCAGATATCATATGAGAATGTTTCTGACATCAGGACAAAATAGCACCACTACTTTACTGCTTTTTGTTCATTACACAGTACGCTGCACATAACTGACAATGATTACAGTCTGAACTATAGATAGATAGATAGATTCACTGAGTGCATCGTGCTGTAAAGCGTTACTGGCTAACTCTGCAACAGAAATGATTCCGGTTCCTCCATTGGTATTTCTGCTTACTGTGATGTTATTTCCTGGAGCATCTTCAAATGTTTCACATCCCTAAAATCTGTACTACCTAAGCTAAAAGGTTAAAAAGGCAATAAACTATAATATTTGAAACAATAAAACAACTTTTTGCAGTAGAAATATTTATTGGTATTTCAGCTTATTGTAATGTTATTTCTTATTTTCAAATGCTTCATCACTAAATTCTGTACAACCCTAAATAAAATGTAAGTCTATAAAAGTCTCATTCTAAATTATACAGCATAAATCAATGTATTTTACTGTTTCATTAATTAATTAAAAAATCCAGTAACCACGTATATTAGATTGTAATGTGCATGGGATAATGGAATTATACATGACTTTTCTTTGTTTTGATATCAGCATTATATTTGGGCCACTGGTCCCCCTGCTCTTTAAATATCTCCATCGGCCACTGAAAAACATACATACACACACATCGGACGACCACTAGTCTGAACTCAACTTATCAAATCCATTTTACACCTTCGTTCTGAATGCTGTATTACATGTTTTTCTTGCTTTTTAATTTCAGGGCTGGAGGAGCTGTATTAATGCAAACATGTATTCTGATAATAATTAGCTCATTCAAATGTAAAATCCACACATTTTCTGGGACAAAAAGGTTGATTCCACAAAATATGGATAAGAAAATAAATGCTGGATATTTTTTCAGTACAGTGCAGCGCCTTTTTGTGCCTTTCATAAGCACACACACACACACACACACACACACACACACACACACACACACACACACACACACACACACACACACACACACACACACACACACACACACACACACACACACACACACACACACACACACACACACACACACACACACACACACACTCCCCAGGGTGCCCTGATGCCAGAGGTGAGGGCAGTGCCAACTCCAGTGCATGCCAACACAACCCGCTGTCATAGCAACAGAGGGAGGAGCCAGATGAAACCTCTCCATCTTACACCCCTCTGTCCTCATCTCTCCCCTCTTTCCTCTTTGAATACTTGTTTTTCTCTGCATCTGCTCACCCTTTTATTTGCTCTTCAGTCCTCAATCAGTGTGAGTGGGATGAAGAGAGATACACGGGTGTCATGGCAGAGGAAGACAAAGGGATGAGAGAGGCTCACACAGTTGGTGGTGTTTAGATTTGCACATGGGTCTGTATGGAACACCCTACCTGCCACAAACCACCCACCTCACACATGGACAGGATAATTATGTGTCCTCTTATGGATCTCAGAGAGAAGTAGATGGGGGGGCCTTTAAAAAGTACTGTCACAGGAAGTTCCTCCAGGATATTATAGCTGTTAGGATCATTACCACTCTCACACTGTGAGGACAGACCTCCTGGCTAGGCCAAAGTGTGTGTGCGTTCTGTTGTTAGCATCATGTCAAGAAGCAATGTACATAATTCGAGTCTTTTAGTGCAAACGCACGTTGAAGATATTACATTCTCAGGGAGTCGCTACCTAAAAGCGCAGGTGCACACGTCTGTGAACTCTGCCTGTCTCCATTTGCTCTTCTATCCACACGAAGCTACATGTGTTCCATCCAACACTGAGCTTTGTGTTGTTGTTGAATCTGCGTATCATTCGTTATTTTCACATTCAATATAGAGTCCAAAATCAGAAAAGTATTTGTTATTCATTCATGAATCAAAAGCAAATAGGAAATGAAAAGAACTGAATCTGATTTTGATATTTAACGCGATTTGTGGAACCAGGGAGTTTGCGACTGTGTTGCACTTGATATCCTAACTTTGCAGAAAATACACTGATTTTATGTGATGAATATGAGCCT